CCCCCGCTGCCTGCCCCCAGTACAACTGCCTTCCAGGGGGAACTCTGGACGATGGAAGGGGCAGGGATTTCCCAGCATCTCAGTGAGGTTGTGCCAGGAGTTATTGTGCTGTTCAGACCTACTGTGTGTGACCTGACCAGTGGATCTATTCCTTTCAGAATCGATATGTACGTGGAAGGAATGTTCGATCTCAATGAGTTACTCATGATGTATGCCTTCCAACCTGCAGACAAAAAAGAGCAACATTTTGCAAATATGATGGACAAGGCTGAAAACAGATACTTCCCAGTCTTTGAGAAGGTATGTGGCACAGAGCTGGTAGCTCAATTGATATCTTGAAGCTCCATCCTGGATCCACACAAGTTTTATGGAGGAAAACTGAAGAGAATCTACCACAGGAATGTCAATGCTCTGTTTGTAGGGGTGCTGGGACTAAGGTGGAGAAAGGACACTTCAGAGGGAACAGAAGGCACTTCAAATCTGGTGGAGATATACAGCTGCAAAAACCCAGCAGACATAGAGCTCCCCAAATACCCCTTGCACAGGGGCTGCAGCCCCAGGCCCCGCTGGTCACACAATCACTGCTGTCCGGGGGACTCCAAGCCTGTCCCTGCTCACTGTGTCCCGACCATGTCCCTGATGTGCAGCTGCCTCGGAGCCAGCCCAGTGGAAATGCTGTCCAGAAAACCTGGGTTTCTTACCCAGTGTGCAACTAAGCAATAATTACACACTTAAGAGAGACATTGACTATTAATTTCAGAGTTGTGCAAGCCTGGTTGCTTGGTGGTATTCCAAAAATCAGTGACAAGTTTTTAGTATTTATTTGTTTTAGCAAGCAAAGGCATTAATGTTCATTGACTACAAGTCATCCAGTTCTCTTAATAATTAATGTTCTCTTTTCAACTGGTTAATGATTCTCCCTCTTCTCATGCTAATTAGTCTCCATCCTCACTGGGTCTTTCTGTTCTTTTGAGCTGGGTTTCTTGACTTGGTGGGCTGTGAGTCAGTGGTGTGGGAATCTCTCCCTGTCAGAATTATCTTTTACCCGTTCAGAGGTGATCTCAGCACTCAGTTGCTGAGTGGGCTTTTTTGGTTTCTTCCTTATCTTGGGAGTTCTGCCAAATGCCCTTGTGGCCTGTAAATTCTGTATTTTTTGTAACCACTACCAGAGGATACAAGGCTTTCCAAGCCTTGTTAAACTCCCCAGAGGTTTGAAATCATTAAAACATGTTCAACCCTAACCAAGGCAATTCTCCTGACAAGTAATTTCTCTTTCCCACAGCTGAGCTTCACTTAGACCTTGTTTGGTAGCTGCTCTCTGTTTAACAGAGTAGAACTTCTTTCTTGTTGATTAGGCTTGAAAGTATACTAAGATCAAACATCAAATCACATCCTTCGTCAAGAAAATGTTTACATCTTCCATATTTTGCAACAGAAACGGGGCAAGACTGCAGGGCAAGGCTGAGCTGGCTTTTCCCTGAGCTGCGGTGGTGGGCTTGGTGAGGAGTCCAGCGGGGCGGGCGCCGGGCACGGCGGGGCCGCGGCGGCAGCCGAGGGGCGGAGCGGCCGCCGGACGGGCCGGGAGGGCCGCGTGGCGGGGCCGGGCCGTGTCGGTGCCGTGTCGGTGCTGTTCCGGTGCCGTGTCGGTGCCGTGTCGGTGCAGCGGCGGCGGAGCGGCCCGGGCAGACGGTACCGCGGCGGCGGGCGGGGGGCGGGCGCTGCCAGCCCGGGGCAGTGAGTGGCTCTTGCCGGGATCGGGGCTCCTGCCCGGCTCTTGCCGGGATCGGGGCTCCTGCCCGGAGGGCAAAGGGCGAGGCGCGTCACAGACCGGCTGGCCCTCCGGGAACGTCCTGCCGTGCTGCTCCAGGGAGTTTTTCCCAGGGATTATTCCGCAGCTTCTCTCCTGCAGCACGGGCCAGGACGGGCGGGAGCGTGGGCACGGAGCGGGTGTGCGTTTGGCTCGGGGTAGGATCAGCGGGGACGCTGAAGAGAAACTGCTCTTTGGAGTGCAGATTTTGCAATCTCTGGGAGTACTTTGCCTTTCCCCTCGTCCAGAAGCTCCTCCTAGCTCCGGCGGTGGAAGGAAGCTTTCCGAACGCGGGCTTGGCCCGAGCCCCAGCGCAAACCAGCCGCAGCCTTGAGGCGGGCCGGGGCCCGCGCCGGGCGGTGCAGCGCCCGGTGGAAGGAAGCTTTCCGAACGCGGGCTTGGCCCGAGCCCCAGCGCAAACCAGCGCAGCCTTGAGGCGGGCCGGGGCCCGGGCCGGGCGGTGCTGCGGGCTCGCCCTGGGGAGCTGCCCGGGCGGGAGCTGCAGAGAACGGCTCTGGGTCCCATATCCAACCAGGAAGAACGTTTAAGATCTCGGATCAGATTATGAGCTTGCTGCTAAATTAATTTACTTGTTCCTCGCTGAAAGGCTGGTGCCTGAGTTGTTTAGGACAAAACAACGTCGGGTGTTTTCAGTACAGCGAGCCTGCGTGGCTGGGGCCCAAGGAAAGTCTGATGCACTAAAACATCAGGAAAGTTTGTGATTAATTTTCAGGTCCATTATTGCTATTCAAGAAAGACAATTTACCGATTTTGCGACTCTTATCACCGTTCAGTATTTTACAAAGGGGTATTCATTACAGAGCTGTAAAAGGGTCACCAAATTAGTTTGCAGCCCTGTGTAAGTGTTCAGCCTGAACCCCAAATTCGGACCTTTAGCCGTGCATTCGCAGGAAGATATTCCCGGCTGCTGTGAGAGGAGCACTGAGCTGAGACTGGCAATCAGGGCTCTGCGTGGGCTGAGTTTTATCAGCTCCAGCTCTGCCTTGTGGAAAGGTCAAGGGTGTTTGCTCTTTCTGCTGTGCTAGCCTGTCCTCATAGTGTTTCTCAGCCTTGATCCCATGTGCTGGAGGTGAGTGTTTGTCCAGTCTGTGGGGGTTTAAGTGCAGTTCTTCTCTCTGGTGAAGTTGAAACCAACATCTACTTTCTGAGCATCAGGGAATGAAATATTTTTGAAGGTCAGGAGCTCTCCTACTTGTTACAGTGTCAGTCATACATGGGAAATTGAAATGAAGTGTAGCTCGTGGTCCTGTGTGTGTAGGGCCTGGCGAGGGAGCTGTGCCAAGTCACTTTTTGAGTGCCTTGTTGCAGTTCAGGAATCTGGCTGGGCATCCAGCGGGGCTGCATTAGCTGCAGCTCCACGCAAGACATAATCCATTGACACGCACATCCTTTCGTGTCAGGAGAACTTCGCTACCAGACTGAGGTGTCCGGGACACAGGCACTGCCAGGGTGTGGTGGGTTTAGGTTGAAACTGGGTACAAATACTAATTTTGTGTAGTGGTTTTGGTTTGTTAATTTGAGATTTTATTAATTTTGAGATTTTTTTGGTTAATGTATTAGAGTGGGTGGTTTGGTGTTGGTTTATTATTAATGTATTTATTTTTTGTTGTGAGGTTGGATTAGGAGAAAGGTAAAGTAGGTTGAAAATTTTAAAAGGGTATAAAGAAAAGTTTATTAACATTAACTAAAAGAAAGAGTAATAAGAACAAAATTTTTACAATATATTTTTTTAAATATTTTTTTCTTACTGGTAATGTGAAGAAATAAAAACATAAACTAAAAGAAAGAGTAATAAGAACAAAATTTTTACAATATATTTTTTAAATATTTTTTTTTCTTACTGGTAATGTAAAGAAATAAAATTTAAAATTTTAGTTAGTTTACTATTTTTAAAATAGTTCTTTTTTAGTTTATTTAGGGAGAGAAGTCTTTATTGCTAATGTTATGGAGACTTTTCTATAAGGAAAAACCCCCAGTTTTCTTGTGTTTTTTTTTACAAATAGTAGTTGTCCAGGGAAATCTGTAATTGTGAAGTTCTTATATTTATGAGCTTTCTTACAGTTGTTTATGAGTTATGTTGATTTATGGGGTATTGTTTTAAAGATGAGTTGTTTATAGGTAAAAGTTTTTATTTATTTTTAAAATTATTTTTATTTTTATGAATTTTCTTTTTTTTATCTCTTAGGGGTATAGAATTACTTTTTTTGTTGTTAGTTTAAACTTTATGGGATTACAGTTATTTTAATGTGTTTATTTTAATATGGAGGTTTATGTTTGATATTAATGTGAATTTTTAAAATTGTTTTATCTGTTATAGGGAAAAAGAGTTTTTTCTCTATAGTCTATAGGAGGATTTTAGTGTTAAAATTAAGGGTTTTTTTTTAATCTGGGATTTGATTTTTTTTACTGACTTTGATGTTTTATGGGTTTTTAAATATGATTGTATTTTTTTTTTTAATTTGAGGGAGGCTTGAAGTACTGAAAGGGTTAACGTGTTGTTTGGGTCTTGTAAATGGTTACTTGATTTGTTGGTAACTTGTGAAAGAGAAAAGAGGAAGTTCTCGGGGATTTTTGTGTCTAGTTTTTCAGTGGTTGGAAGTTTTGTATTATTTTTTTTAATTCTTCTCTTGCTAACCTATGACACAGGGCTAGGTGGCAGCTGAGCAGTGAAGACCTGCGTTTTGCACGGGGGCACCTCTCTCCCCTGTGAGTCAGTCCCTGACAGTGATGGCTGTGTGCTCTAGGGCCTGTGGAAGACAGCACCCAGCACAAAGGACTTCAGTGGAGTGGGCCAAGGATGCACTGCTGTGCTGTTTGTGCCTCTTTATTGATGCCTTGGGATTATGGCCAAAGTTTTTACTTTGTGGCTCAGCTATGTATTGTGAAGTGTGTGCAAGCATAAATAAGCCTGCCTGTGAACAGATAAACCTTGGGCTTAACAATGAAGCATTCTGTTAGTCTGTGTCTCTGTTTTATGAAATTTCCTTCATTCTTCTGTGACCCATTAGTGATAAGAGTACAGTGTTAGCTTTGTTTCCAGCACCAGGCAAGCTCACATCAGCTGCCAGTGTCATACAGTGGCATGTGACTGCACATGGTAGGGGAATTTGAAAGGACCAAGTGTTTCATCCCAGTGCCATCATCTGATGGGCTGACTTGAGCCCCCTGCTGCCAGGGGCATTGCCCAGGCCTTATGTGCCCAACAGAGGTCAGTTCCATCTGTTTGTTTCTTGATTTTTAATTAAATTTTCAGGGCAGATAGAACACAAATCTCTGTTACAGTTGGACTGTAGCAGCTGGATAGGGAACGCAGTAGGCCTGGTGATACATAAGGCACAGGAGAACAGGGCTCTGAATTGTCATATGAGAGAGGTGAAAATAGTGCTGGTGACACTAGTTTGGTGTTCTTTGGAAGCCATTCATTTGATACAGTACATTTTTCAGGTATGGTATGACATGTGACAAAACCCAAAACCTACTGAAGGGACTGCATCACTGCAAGGTTCAAAATGTGCTAGTTCAGGAGGCAGAGTACAGCTCTGCTTTGGTTGTAAAACTCCAGTAAGCTGTTAAAACTACAACAATATATTATTTAGGAGATGCTTATTGTGGTTGAATGACTGCATATTCTGGTACTGTGTAGCTTTTCTTTTATTCCATTAATCCACAGGAAACTTAGTTACATCAAGCACAAGTGTGTAGGACATGATTGTTCTTTTACTTTCTTGTTCATCCAACTGTATTTAGTAGTTTGGAGTGGGACATTCAAAATGCTAATTTAAAGCATGCTTCCATAAGATCATCATCTTGATTTTATCAGGAAACAAGAACTCTGAAATCATGGCGGGGAAACCCAAGCTGCACTACACCAAGGGAAGGGGGAAGATGGAGTCAATCCGATGGCTGCTAGCAGCAGCTGGGGTTGAGGTTTGTACCATTTTTTATAAAGTGATTTGTGATTAAAATAGTATTCTCTGGAATGGTTTCCCAATTGCATCTGTGCTTAGCGATATGCACATCATCACATATCTATCTAAGCAGAATGCTTAGATTGAATGATACACTCTTGTGTTGTATTTCATGTATTCCTTGAGCCATAGTTACACCGTGAAGAGATTTTAACATACAAAGAGAATTGATGGGTGTCATTTTTGAAACATACTTTAAGATGAGATTGTGAATTGTTGCTACAGACAAAACTGGGACTTTTTGTCAATGCTCATAACTTCCCTGTATCTCGTGAGTCTTCTCCACTGAAGGACCATGCATACCTCATGTCTGATGAACATGAAAACTTTTGAACATTCTCTCCAAACAAAGTACCTTTTGTTCTTTGGGTCAGGATCTGAGTAAGATAAATCAGCAGATCTGCCCCAAAGGCAGTGTTAGGGAATCTATCTAGATTCACATCAGGTCAAGGCCATCTTAATTTCTACATTAAGTTTTTGTTTGAATATGGTTTTTTGAAACTATTTATACTATATTGGAAATAAAAGGCTTTTTTAAATGGTGCTCACTTGAGAATGTTGCTGACAGAAAATTTGCAGAACACGAGTGCTGAGGAAACCAAGATCTTGTCCTCATTCAAATGTCCTTATTAAAAAAAAAAAATCCAGTGGATTAAAGAGGGAGATAAATGCTGTGTAAGAGCAGCATAATTTACAAGAAGTTTCTTAATATTTCACGTGGCATCAGCTGCTTTTTATCCATTTATGGTATCCATTTATGGTTCATGCAGGTGACTCTGGTCCTTATAAAGAGGAAGTTCTTTCTGGAGCATAATGCATTGTACAGTCCTGTGGGGTTGGGGACAACAAAGTCTTGGGTTATAGTCTCTGCTGCAGCAGAGATAAGTAGGGGTCTGTTAAGGAAACTTTCCTGTCTGACCATCCAGGAGCCTCTCCATCAGTCCTTAAAGTAATCATGGTGCAACAACAGAGTAACATTATGCCTCCAGGGAGGGACCCAGAACAAAGGAAACTACTGGTCCTTTATACCCTCACAGTCTGAGTGAAGGTTTGGGGTCATGGGCTCCTGCCGTGTGTCACATGGCCACTGCCACAGGTCCTCTGCCCTTTGTTGTGCAAAGGGAGGCAGTTCCCAGCTCTTGCCTTGGGCTCCCAGGGCTCCATGAGCAGCTGGAACTGCAGCTGCTCAGCCAGCTACTGGCACTGAATGGATTCCTGGACAGGGTCAACACAAAGAGATAAGTATGGAGAATAGTGTGGAGAGGTGGGCTCTAACTGCCAGACTTCCTTCCCCTTCTCCACTGCCTTTGGAGTGACAGTGTTGTTTTCTACTCTTGCTTTTCAGTTTGAGGAAGAATTCATAGAGACAAAAGAAGACTTAGAAAAATTGCGCAATGGTGAGTCTGCAAACTGTACCCCAAACATAAATTCACACAAACAGAGCAAAAGAACAACAGGAGGTATTTTTTTAAGACCTGAAATATGATGTGACCTGTAAAGAAGAGCTGCTTCCTTGTGGATGCTTTCATCCCTGAGAATTAGAAATTTCTTGGTCTCTTTTCAGGTCTCTTCCTTATTTTCAGTGTAGCATTTCAGCAGTCTGAGTAGCTTGCTCCTTTTCCTTCCCTAGATGGAGTCCTGCTGTTTCAGCAGGTGCCCATGGTGGAGATTGATGGGATGAGGATGGTGCAGACCAAAGCCATCCTCAGCTACATTGCAGCAAAGTACAACCTCTATGGGAAGGACCTGAAGGAGAGAGCCTGGTATGGTAACATTACTTACTAACACTCCTCCATGATTGTTAATGTTTACAGCAAGAATGTTGCTGTGAAGTATCTGCATGTAAAGGTGAGTATACCTAACAGACTGGCACTTACTGTAGAGGGTTTATTTTGTGAGAATGGAAGGCCAGCTCCAGAGACTGTGGAGATTATTGTGGACTGGCAATTGTTAGCCAGCATCCTGTCATGATTAGACCTCAAAACTATTTTTTTTCCCCTGAAGTGTTTTGCATATGCAGTCTTTTTTCCCACAGCATAAATGAATAAATTATTAATGGAAAACAGTATGAATTCCATTTTAAACACATTACTTGCAGCCTTTTTTTTCCTTATTGCATATACTGTGAGCCTATTTTACAATTTGTGCTTTGAAAAAAATGGGAAGATTTCTCAAAGTGGAAGAACCAAGAAAATAAACCAGTGTCTTATGTTTCACTAATAAACATTTTACTCAGTGATCACTTCAGAGTTGTATTTCAGGAAAATAATCAAAATGGAAAGTTTGAATGATATATGTTGAACAAAAATATTTGTTTCAGGATTGATATGTACGTGGAGGGAACTACAGACCTAATGGGAATGATCATGTATCTCCCTTTTCAACCAGCTGATACAAAAGAAAAGAATCTTGCCTTAATCATTGAACGAGCTACAACCAGGTACTTCCCTGTTTATGAAAAGGTAAGAGATAAATCACCAGCAGTTCACACAGACAGTGAGTTCTGGGCTCTCCCTCCTACCCTACTCCCCCACTGTTCCCACACATGTACTTTCCAGAAGGCAAGTGACAGTAGAACTCTAGAAATGTATGATGGAGCCAGTATCCAACAATGTGAAAAGAGTGCCACAAAATAATTTTTGGCTGGTTTCTTTTTTGTCTTTCTTTTCCAACCTAGCTTAGTGGCTGATGGCTCCCAGTGTTTTGCCTAAATGCACCATTTCAATACTTGTGCCAGCCTTCAGTACTTATTTTCTGGAAGTGTAATGTGTTACAGAATTGTTAAGGTTGGAAAAGACCTTCTAAAGATCATTAAGTCTAATTGTCAACCCCGCACCACCACCATCAAACTGTGACCTCCTGTGACATATCCACATTTCTTGAACACTTTCAGGGTTGGTGAGTCCACCAGTTCCCTGGACAGTCTGTTCCAGTGCTTCACAACCCTTTACATGAACAAAAATTACTCAGATCTAATCTAAACCTTCCCCGGTGCAACTTGAATCCATTGTCATTTGTCTTGTCACTGGTTACCTGGGAGAAGAGGCTGACCCCCACCCTCCTACAATGTCCTGTCAGGGTGTTGTAGAGAACAATAAGGCCTCCCACTCACCCTCTTTTATTCTTGCTATTCAAAGTTACATATATTTGTGCATTACAGCTAAGGATCTAATTCTATGATCTTCCTTAAATCCATTGCTTAAATGTATTACATTTAGAGGTTATGATTCACTCTCTGAATTGCTACTTGGGCATCCTTAGGTGTGCACAGAGATGCTCTGCAAGCAAGATACATGTAGCATAGAAAGTATAAAGCAATTAATTATTTACTGGCTAGCATGCACCAAAGAGCCTGAGCTGTGAGGGAAGGCATTGGTATGCTTGCCATCCCCTTTGAGCACATGAGGAGGCTTTCTTGGCTAGGGAGGCGTTGGTCAGGAGGATTGTTCTTCTCCCTGGAACATTGCCTGGATGTTATGGAACTGCCATTTTCCACCAACCTGCTGTTTGTTTTGTTGTTTTATTTCTCCTGTAAGGATATTGTAATTTTTTCTTGTGTTAAGATTTTCTTGTTTGAATTGAGCCAGCTGTGATCCTCATCTCAGAAGTTTGCTTCTGTTTGTAACTTTTCCTTTTGTGCCATGTGTGGTTGTGCTGTACAGACTTTCTCACAGTGCTTTTTCAGGGCATAGTGGTCTCCTCAGAAATCTGCCAGGGGTACAAAGCTGTGTTGTTTCACAGCTGAGCTGGGTTTCCAGCTTGAAGCCTTTGTTACCAGGCAGCTGAAGTCGACTCAAAAAATACAGAACTTGATGCAATTTCACGTCCCACTTTATTAGAGCCTTAAATTGTACAAAGAAAACCCACAAAGGCTGCCTGGTAAAATAACAATGTAAATGATAATCCAGCACTTTTGTAATCAGAGTTCATATATATCCACTGCCATACTAGTGAAGGGCTGTGCTGAGATGTGTTGATTACACACCCAAATCTTTCGAAGATTAAAGTCTGATACGTATTTTAAGTTATTAAACAATAAAATATGCATCAAAATTCTCTAAACCTGTGCCTAGGTGGCATAAACTACTGTTGTGATATGTTTTAGCATGTATGCTCCATATAGGAGAGTCTTTAAAGAAATCCTTGTTTGCTTACATAAAGACACAGCGGAACTGTTCCATTATTTTAGCCTAGTTAATTTTGTTTAAAATGGTTAATAATTTTCTTTCTGTACCAGCTGTTTAAGATGTCTATTGTTTCAGCTTATCAGGGTTTGCAGTCTATGTGTTATTCATTCTGGAAGCTGACAGGAAACATACCTAGCTGTGAGTGTTCACTTTAAACACTCAGCAGCCAGGAGGAGCAGCAAAAGGCAATATGAAGCCCTGCAGGCAATCAGATTCCGATGCTGTGTTTGGGAGTTTCCACACCGTCTGATAAACAAGCTGTGCTAGCAGCCAGGAGGAGCAGCAAAAGGCAATATGAAGCCCTGCAGGCAATCAGATTCCAATGCTGTGTTTGGGAGTTTCCACACCCCAAAACAAGTTGTGCTAAACCTTGCTAGAGCAGTGTAGGAAGTAACTACGTGAAGGGATCAGCTGTGACTCTGCCCATGACTGCTGCCTCCATGGCAGAACTGGCAGATGGGGCTGGAGAAGGAGGTGGCTTCCAGAGTCACAGACTGATGTCTTACTGCACATTTGCTAATTGGGAGTAGCCTTAGTGTGACTTAGGCACAGACATGGCCTTCTCTTGCTCCTGATAGGAGGGTGACAGTCTTGAGGACAAAGGTGGGCTGGAGAGCTGGTACCTGCTCTGAAACTGTGCTGCAATGTTCATCTCAACCTGTCTACTACACTTGTAGTACCTTTGGCAGGCTGTGATTCTTGCATCAGCAGTTTGCCACAAAGGAGTCCTTCCTTAACGGGATAAAAAGGGTGGGAAGGTTGTAGTCCTTCATTCTGACATATTTCAGACTGTAATCAGCAGTCTCAAACTTTGCTGAAACATCTGGAAATTAACTTAACATTTTTCTTAAAAATTCAGGTGTGCTTACATGTAAACTGGCCTGACTACCTCTTCCAATTACTTTAGTCCTGTTTTTTTGTGTGATTAAGTCTTTCTTGTGGTACTGGACCTGGTATACAGCTACCTGGTGCAGTAGGTTAGAGTGAGAGATGGGATCGTACACACTGAAACATGAATTCTGATTTAATTTTTTGTTTAAAGAATATGTATCACTTTCTAACTTCATAGGTTCTTGCATGGCTTTGCTGTGCTATGTTTTTTCAGAAATCTATCTGCAATGAAATACCTAAATAAAATTGTCACATCCCATGTGAATTCTGGACCTGGTATACAGCTACCTGGTGCAGTAGGTTAGAGTGAGAGATGGGATCGTACACACTGAAACATGAATTCTGATTTAATTTTTTATTTAAAGAATACGTATCGCTTTTTAACTTCATAGGTTCTTGCATGGCTTTGCTGTGCTATGTTTTTTCAGAAATCTATCTGCAATGAAATACCTAGATAAAATTGTCACATCCCATTTTTGTTTATTTGTTCAAACTTTATAGGCCTTAAAAGATCATGGACAGGATTATCTTGTTGGCAACAAATTAAGCTGGGCAGATGTCCATCTGCTGGAAGCCATTTTAATGGTAGAAGAGTGTAAGCCTGATGCACTCTCTGCATTCCCTCTGCTGCAGGTTAGTAATCATCTGGTGTCAGTTTGGAAGATAACAAATTTCACTGACTGTTGTTAGAAGTTTATGGATGTTTACATCTTTTGTGCCATTGTACTGACATTTCTGTGGTCTGTTTGACTACACAAACCTGCACTCAGTGCACTGCCTTGCCCAAGGGCTGCTGGGGACTCACCCTTCTTCAGTTCTGCTTTTCCCAGCTGTTCTCAGCTGGCAGGAATTCACTCACTACTGCTACCAATTTGGTCCTTTCACTGCTACTTCCATGTCTTCAAATACAACAACAATATCCAGAAGGAAAGTCTGTGGCCTGGTGTGTCGGCAGTTCCTGCCCTTTTCTTTTTGCCAGAAAAATTACATTTTTTAGAAATCATATACAAAGAGCAATTAAGTTTCCTATGTCTTGACTTCTGTAGTGCTTTGCACTGAGATATTCCTGTCTTTGCGGTTTTTTTTCCTCAAATATATCTGCAGGATTGGGATGTGGGTTTTTTTTCTTTCACTTTTTACTAGATGAATCTTAACTCTTTAATATTAATTTCTCCCATTCTCATCTGGGAAACTTAAGATATAGCACCAGCATTACAGATCAGAAAAAGTTAGTACCTTTTACTGTTTAGTAAGTATGTCTGACAAGTAAAAATCCAAGTCACCTGATCTTTAAACTATAAAGGATGGAATTATCATTTCCTTAATCTCACTGGCTTTACTGTTGCTTCTTACAGGCTTTTAAAGGAAGAATCAGCAACATTCCAACAATCAAAAAATTCTTACAGCCTGGCAGCCAGAGGAAGCCACCAACAGATGAGAAGTTTGTTGCTGTTGTGAGGAAAATATTCAATATCTAATCTGATGAAGATAACCCAACTGTAGTATATTACCAGAGCTTGCTTTGTAAGAGAAATTGCATAGCTGTGCTCTGTAACTTGCATCATATGGCCAGTATTGAAACAGATCACTGGTAAATGAGCGTAAAAGGCTAATTTGTACCTGCTGATTCCAGAAAGAATTTAACGAAGCAGTTATATGAAATAAAATATGCTGACACTTGGTGTGTGTTTAATGAAAGTGCATGCCTGGTAGGGTAAAATGTTCACTTGTAACTTCTGGAATACTGTAGAAAAGCCACATGATCCCCAACCCCCTTTTTATAAACTGCCAGAGACAGGAGCCACACCCTGAAAACTGAGAAGTCATTTAAATTCAGGCCTAGAATCTTTTGGCTTGGTTCTCTACTGGTCTCTAGGTGGTCTCCTAGAATGTTCATTCTCTCCCTGCTGTATTTCACAGCTTAAAAATTAAGGAAATAAAACCTTTAAAAATAAAATTAAAATTCATGATTCTTTTAAGTTTACAGGCAGAAGTAAAAAACTTCTAATCCCCATATGAATCTCTTAGGAGTGATTTTTTTTCACTGAAAGATCAAAGTCCTTGTGTTTAATTGGCCTGCTGTGGTTTTTATCTGCTGAGAGCACCTATTCCCTTGCTCTTTTTGCTGCTTGGCTGGCTGGTCAGTGAGGCAAATGCTCCTTGGGTGGTTTTTTATAAGGTTTTACCTTCTGCAGTCACTTCCCACAGTTATAAAGCCAAGTGCACTGGCTGCTTACCTTCTCAGTAAGAGTGACTTTTACCTCAATAGTGCTTAAAGCATGCACTACTATGTCATATTCTTTACCCTAATTTAATGGGAAAAACCACTGTTCCCTTTAAGAACATTGCCATAAACCATCCTTTGCACTTAGCTGTTTCTCCTCAGTAGGACTCCAACTGATTAGGCAAACAGTCAGCCAGTACATGCAGAACTGCTGCCCGGCAAAGTTAACTCCTTCACTGACTTGTGCCTTAGAAGAGCCATGTGCAGCTCAGAGGTACAAACCACAAGTGCCCCAATCACCTGCACTACTGACTTCCAAACAGGTTTACATTAAAATTACCTTGATAGCTGGAAGCAGTGCTTAGCCATACCCAGCACAGTACCCATTTCACTGGGCTACTCCTCTCTTCCAAAAAAGTGCTATGATTTAGGAACCATCACAAAGGGGGTATCATGATACATGGTAACCTTTGTAAGCAAGCTTTGTATGAAAAAAATGAGAAGCAGCAAAATTTCTGTTTGTATTCAAGAGCACACTCACCCATACTGCTTCCTAACAACATTGCTTATATTCTCTGTACACCTGAAGACAGTCTTAGCCAAGCTTTGAGTCCCCAGGAATATTTATTTTTTACACAAATCAAAGTAACTTCAATGAACAGTCTCTTCTGCTTATGGCCGGGGGGAGTTCAGCAAGATAATCTGTGTGAGAATGGAATGGCAAACCTGTTCCAGAGCTTGGAACCTCTGTGCAGCATGACAAATCTCAGCCCTGGTTCATGTCACTGGCAATTTACAGCATGGTACATGTTTTAAAACACTACCAAGCACAAAGCAGAGGACCAGACTCTTACCATTGATAAAATGGCTCACTCATCTGCTTAAAAAAATATATAAGCTTCAAACATTTTACATTTTATTTGAACTCTGATTTTTTCTATTTGGAACCAGGGTAACAAGAATGTGTGTTGGAAAGGAAATTGGTTTTTTAGTGCAACGCAGTACAGGCCCAAGACTTTTTTGATTTAGAACTGATTATTTAATAAAATTATACTTCAATACAAGATACCTTTTTAGCATAAACATGTATTTATATATATTCTTTCAGTGATACATTGCAAGAGTAATTCAATTTCCTGGGGTGCTCTGCACCCCTAAAAGGGATCAAACTTACAAAGAAAAATCCCACGAGTTAATAGACTGCTTAAATGAAAGTAGATCAAAATACACCAACAAAACACTTGCTTTAGTTTTTAAAAAAAGCTTTTAAAATATCAGCACATGTCAATAATCAATTAACAAGTACAGATCTTTTACAGAAAATATAAATGCAGTGTAAGACTTGTGTTCAATCTTGTCTTTCAAGTACAGAGAGCATGTCTGTTTGGTGGGCATGGCAGTCATATTCAGTTCTAAATTCTCCTACAGCAGCATAAAAACAAGCCTCAAAATCATCAAAAGGCTGAAAAAAAAACAAAACAAGAAAACATAATTATGGCTGTCATTAATAAAATCAGTGAAAGTCATCATTAAATAACAGTGCATTCATAACTAACTGACACTAGAGTCTCTATTAAGCCGTCTTTTCAGGTGTCCAGATCTCCAGTCTCAGTGTCTAGAAAAACAAAACCCACCTAGGCTGGAAAAGCAGTCACAATGGACAATAACATTTTCCAGTGTAAGTCTTGATTCTTAAATTTTGCTTAAATTTTGACAAATTGCTTCTGATTTTTTCTTCCCTGTATGTAACTGAAGTAAAACAGAATGGTATTATATTAAATCTGCATTATTAAAATGACAAAGCAACAGTTATTATTCCTTCAGAAGATGGGGATTCTGATTTACACCTGGAAAATGTTTTGCATTACAGACTCGTTGGGAAAAAAATTTTGAACTTACTCCATAATTTAATTCCAAATTAACAGACACAGAAATTTTTCCAGAATGCCAAGCAGCAGCAATAAAGTAGCTGGAACAGCCAGATTTTTTTTTTATTTGCATTAATACTGGCCAAAATTTTGAGGTTAGGTCAAAAATGTCCTGATTTTCAAAAATACTGTGCTTCCAGTAGTTTTGAATGCAGCACTTCTAAACCAAAGTGGTGGTTTTTTGTTTTTTTGGGTTTTTTTTAAGATGACTGTGTTGGATGAAATTAGGCTAATTTTATGTGTATGTGTTCAAAAACACTAAGGCTTATCTAGGTTCTTCCAAAAGCCTTATCAATATGCATTAATATTTAATTGCTGACCTCTCCTTTCTGTGCTGAGAAAGTCACTTCTTACCAGCTGTATCTGCCTAGTAAGTTGAAAAAGCTGCTCACTGAAAACAGGACTGTGACCTCCAAACTAATTTCACTTAAGCTGTGTAGTTGCTGAATGACAGTGACTTCCACCAACAGTGCCTTGAATCGAGTGTGAAATGGCAACTATTTGATAACCAGTGAAATCTTTACAGTAAGATCTGCAATATGTATTTACCTCAGGCATGCTACTAGTCCAGCTGGCATTAATTTCTTGGACCTCTTGAACCTCATTCCCATTATAATGGTCAAAAGAAAAGATGAAACTGTAAAAGACAATCCAATATATTTATGTTCTCACTTTTCTCAGTGGACCACTCAAGAACACACAGAGTTATCTAAGGTCATTGCTGTTTTTCTATGAACTGCAATTTAGTGAAACATTAGGCCAGAAACAGTCTATAACAACATTCTTGCTTTTCCAAAATACACCATTATGATTTATTTTAGCAACAAATAAAGTGTCCATGTGCAGCAGAATGCTAAATCCTATTCTATGAAGACTAGGTAAGTTTGTCAGTCCATCAATTCTACTCACCCATATCTAAATTCATGGGATATCAAAAAAGTAGAAAGAATCTTGGCCATAGCACTCACATGTATATTGAATTACAGGAACAGTGTCTCATAAATCCCACCAGTCTAGATCATTGCAGCTGTCTTCTGACTATTCAAGGAGCTAGAGCATTCAACTTCTTGTCTGTTTTATTTTTAGAATATTAGCTCTATTTGCTGAGCCTTAAAAACTATATTGGATGGTTTGCCAGCTGTTTTTGCTACAGAATATGGCTATCGACATCTCTTTCTTCATGACTACAATTCCTCTGGAGCCTTTTGCTATGAGGGAACCATCCTTGCCTGTGACAAGAGGTGGGCTCAAGAGAGCAATAAATGCAGCATAAGCAGCAGAGAACAGCTATGAAAGAAACTGCATCTTCTTCCTGGAGTAGTCTTATCTAGAAATGGAGGCAGCAATGAATTCATCAGGCAGAGGGATTTCACTTTGAACTATGGCTGCAGAGTGCTACATAAATGAGAAGGTCAAGGAGAACACATGAAACTGCAAAGATAGCTACCTTCATTAAAGAACTGTCACTTGAAATGCTGCATAGAAGTGGGCAGAGAGGCAGGACTTCTCATGAGCAGCTGGGCTTTGCCACTCTCTCACCCAAAGTAATGGCAGTCACACAGATCTCTTCCCTTTCTATGGAGCAGTTAAACCATCTGGCTAATTCTCTTCAAATTCCACTGTCTAATCTTGGGGCCAGTCCTGTGTTCATAGGTGTCAAAAATTAGTTTTAAACTCACTTCAGCATATAAAACAAGCCCTGACAGTTACAAGTATCTTACAGAACTCTACCAACTATGTGAACTCATCAAAGATATGCTGCAAAAAAAAATATTATGCTCCATTATCCATTGCTCTTATTTTCTAGTCACATAGCCTTGATCCTCTCAGGAATGTTTCAAGGAGTGAAGTATTCCACAGCATGTGTCTTGCCAGAGTCCTGAGTATATTTACAGTTTATTACAAGCTACAAAGCATATTCACTCTGTAATGTTCTTTTTTTCCCCATTTGCTAGTATCTGGCTTTTCACAGGCTCCAGAGACTTTTTAACACATTCAGCTTTCAGACCAGATTTTAGAAACTGCTATACATTCACTATTTCCTTATATACCTATATAAGGTATATAAGGTATATATTTCCTAATATACCTTAAACCAAAGAAATTCAATAAATCAACAGCAATTCAATGCAGTGAATCATATTCAGATCAGAATCAACTTGCATTGTGAATGCTACTAACTCTTGCATACTGAGATTTGAATTTCTACATCTACTTCAAACACATAAAAATGCATTAAAGTATCCAAGAAAACACAGAGCTTATTTCAGGTGAAGTAGGAAAATGCCTGAAATAGTAATTTATAAAACAACTAAGAGAATTGTCTGGGGTACCTATTGGCTACATACTCTTTGTATGTAGGACAAGTTACAACAACCTTACTATCAAGGTCTTGTAGTAAAATATTACCTAAATTACTGTAGAGAGTCTTGCATAGGTGAAAACTACTGTCAATAATTACGGTTTGGATGGATAGGTTGTTTTTACATTTCCTAACCTTTTAAAGGTTTGGGTGCTTGCTTTATTTTAC